ATTCTTGTGCGCGCCCAGGACTCTGAGACCTCAGATGCAGAACGCACTCGCCTCCTAGAGCAGGCGACACAGTTAATGGTAGGCCACCGTACGGCTATGTGCGATATCCTCCAGTGTCATATGGCTCTCTTGACCGGGACTACTACTGTGCAGCGAGACGCGGTTTTAGACGCGTGTGTTTTCGCCGGCGAACTGAGTCAGGGGGTACGCCACCGCCTCAGTTACGCAGACTGGAGATCCTCCACCCTCTTTGATGGGGAGATAGCGGGGGCAGTTGCAGAGCTTCGGGGTGTAAAAAACCAAATGGTCCAAGTCGAATCCGCTAGCCAGTTGGCCGTTGCCAAGGGTAAACGGAGGGCGCCCCAAGCACAGAAAGCACAACGCCCTAGGACTAGCTCTGCTAAACAGAGTCAGCCAGGAGGCATGCGCTCGTACCCATCCGCGGGAGAGAAGGGTAGCGGCGCGCCCCCAGGAAAGAGAGGACCAGGTGGTGGCTGCTCCTCCTCCCTGGGTGGTCATCATCCCCGGCAGCGGGGTAAGCATGTTTGACGCTTACCTCTGCGACGGGGGGGATGGGCCAGCGTTCGGCAAGAGATCAGGCTACAGCTTAGTAACCCCAGTGATCTATGGGGAGGATCACCTCACGGTAGAACAGATCCCTGTCGCACGTAGATTGCGCCGGTGCATTCCGGCTTGGAGGCAGCGGGTAACCGATCCCTGAACGCTCCAGGTGGTCATACGCGGTTACAGAATACCACTGACATCTCCTCCGCCCCTGTCAGTGTCCCCCCCCCGTTGGTGGCACTGACAGGGGACCCCCACAAGGCGGAAGCAATCATACAGGAAGTAGACAGTTTGCTAAGAAAGGGCGCTAAGTCTGGGCTTCTACTCAAATGTATTCGTAGTACCAAAATCTACAGGCGGCTGGCGTCTGGTTCTGGACCTAAGCAGACTAAACCAGTTTGTGCTTCTCGATCGGTTCCGCATGGAGACACCATCCAGTGTCCTACTCTCCATCCACCGGCTCGACTGGCTAGCCTCTTTAGACTTATGCGACGCTTACATGCACATACCAATGCACCCAGCAAGTTGCTCTCTCCTTCGATTCGCTCATCTGGGCCAAGTATTTGAATTTAGGGTGCTCCCCTTCGGGTTATCCACAGCGCCCTACGTATTCACCAGAGTGATGAATCAGGTAGTGCTGCTGCTCCACCAAATGTCAGTACACATCAATCCGTACCTAGACGACTGGTTGATACACAACCCAGACAAGGGGTTATTAGCCAGACATGTAAGGCTTACACAGGATTTACTTCACCAGTTGGGCTTTTTAGTAAATCACAAAAAGTCCCATCCCGACCCGACTCAAAAGTTGGTGTTTCTGGGCATGGAGTTCGACACCGAAGTAGGCCTGGTTCGCCCATCTCAAGCGCGTTGGGTAGCGCTAAGCAACCTAGCAGAACGCCTAGTCAGCGTACCTTCAGTGTCTCTCCGAGAACTAATGCGGCTCATCGGAATGATGACCTCCGTTCGAAGGTAGTTCCCAGGCCGCACTATGCAGCCGCCTGGTCCAACGCTTGTTATTGGAATACCGA